GACATGTGTCCCTCTAGATTTTATAATTTTTGCATTGATTCTTTAAAATAAAAAGAGAGATTTCAAAAAATACCACTTTTCAAGTGCCGCTTTACAAAAATGTCACACTTTTGAAATCTTTACAAAAATACAACTTTTTCAAAAAAAAAAATTTTATATTATTTATGTTTGGGTTAATTATCTTCTATTAGGGTTTAGTTTTGAATGTTTAGGGGGTTTTCGGTGTCAAAATATTTTTTAGGGTTTAGAATTTTAAGATATAAGCTTTATAAATCTATAATTAGTGGCATTTTTGTAAATGGATACCCCTAAGTGGCATTCGTGCAAATCTGCACACAAAAGTGACATTTTTGTAATTGTCCCAAATAAAAATGTGATATCAATATATTAATTTAAAGTAAATATTTAATTAACATCAAATTATCTTCATAAATTAATAAAAAATATGTAAAACCACATTCTAATAGATAATATATTTTTTTCAATATCTCTTTTCAAATTATTTAAAATTTTCTTTTATTAGAACTTCTGAAAATCTATCATATTTAAAATATATATATTTTAAACTTTTTTTTGTTATTTTGTCTTTTTGTGATCAAGTATATTAAGAGTATAACCTATATTAAAATTAAATTATTCTATAATGAACTAACTAAAAAAGTATTTAAGATGTTCCAATATTTTTTTTATATTGGCGACATGCCATAATGTCATTATATAATTTTCTTTTATGTTTGGTATGTCTATATTTTGATAACACGAAATTTTTTTATATACTTTAAAATAATTCACATAAAATAGTTTGAAATTATTTTTTACTTTTAAATCTCTATTTTTATTATATTGTAAGATCAAACAAACTCTTTAATAAATAAAAAAACAGTCCAATAAATACACTTTTTAAAACGTAAGGAAATATCTTGAGGGAAAGAAAACTATATATATGAACGTTTTGTAACGTACGATATTAAATATCAATAATTGATACAACAATTTTGTAAGTTTAGCCGTTTAGGCCAAGGTTAACTAATCTTGACACACTATTTATAATTTTGTACTATATCTTTTTATCTATGCAACTAATATTAGAAAACACACTTTTTAAAAACATGTTATGAACTTCATTTATTGATAAGATAAAAATATATGTGAAAAAACTAAATAACAAATTATGTCCCCTACGATCTTGATTTTTTATATAGGGTATTTTATGCAAATACTCGTAAAAAATTTATATGAATAAAAAAATAAATTTATATGAAAAGCTATTATTTTGTGAAAAAATTGTAAAAGCTATATAAGTTTAGATAATATAAAAAATTATGTAAACTAAATATGTGATCAATCAATTTCAAAACCATTTAAATTTCACTAATTTTTACATGTGCTTGTCTATAAATTATTGCATATTTCACTTTATAAGTTTTAACTTTCCAGTCACGTATGGACTCAACATTTTTTTTACAATAGTGGACACGGATTATAACAAAAAGATTCTAAAAGAATCTAGAGCAAAATTGAAGATATAGTATTCAAATAAAAATATTTTTATATATATATATATCATATGGTTCACTTTCATATTAAACATTTAAAAATGATGTTTGAATTTGTATAAATAGAAATTGTGAGCATAAATATTAAATATCATTTAAGTATATAATATTAATATATATATATATATAATATTAAAATAGTTTTAAAAATCTTCTAAATAGTTGTTCCGCGCAACGCGTGGATTTTCACTAGTTTAAACTATTTAGAGCATGATGGATGTTGGATGTTAAGGGCTTTTTAATGGGTTGTTAAGGGTTAAAAACAATTAAATAATCTTTAGAACTTCAACATTGAATGGCTAATTTTAGCATTTTAGCACCTAAAAAATGGATTGCTAATGGGTTAAAAATAATTAAATAATCTTAGCATCCTAACTTTAGCAACTAAAGTTGATTATGCTCTTAGAGAGAAATTGATCATAACATTGTTCAGTGGACATTTTTCTCTATGTGGGAACGTATAATTAAGGATTTTTTTTTTGTATACACAGTTTTGTATATTAATAATTCATGCGTTTTTCTTGTTGCAATATGAATGGTAATTCTTCTGTTAAATTGCATTACTCCAAAACTACCAAAATCTTAGATTTTATTCCATTTAGAGAAACAAAAAAAAGGAAAATAAACTAAACGACAAACATGCAAAAGTCCATGATAAAAAACAACTACAAAGGAAAGGAATCTACAATTCCATTTCCATGTGAAAAATCCAACTAAAAGGAAAAAAGTACAAATATGTTTTTTTTTGGTATGATAGTACAAATATGTTTATTACCATTTTTAAATTATAAATACATATTTTTGATACTCTATGAATAAGGAATATATATACACCAAGTACGTATATCTGAAGAGAAACAACTGAGCGTATAGAGGAGAGAGCAGAAAAAATGGGTTCTTCCATATTATTGGTTTCGTTTGCTCTCGTAGTCATGATACTCATTTCTTATGAACCATACTCATGTAATGATTTTGTTTATTTGTTTTCGTATTTTTCTATATCCAATATTATATCAAATGGTTTTGAAAATGTTCATAATTTGGGTCGTAGGGATGGGCGTAAACGCGAGCGATGTACCTACCAGTTGCGACCATTATTGTAACCAGACGTTCGAGAGTCGTCACCAATGTTACAAATGGTGTGAAGAATCAGCTCACAAAGATCATGGTACTCGTAATAACACCTATGCTATTTCTGATTTATAGAACAAATGTTATCGTTAAGTTGAATGTATTTTTTTTGCTTAGAAAACTGAAATAACTAGAGAGTTGGCTTTTTGAATACCGATTCTTAATAGAGTTTTTGTTATAATGGGTTCACATATAATTGGATACTTTATGGGTTTATTTATTCTTTTTCTTGGTAATATATGATGAGAATGTAAAGTTGCAGGGTACAAGCTTTATGGGTATCCTTACTCCGCCAATACAAGGCGTGTCCTCGCCGTACTGTACGAGAAAGGCCTTTCTTTTGATCCCATCACCGTCGATTTGAGATCCGGTGAACAGAAGAAGCCACGTTTTCTCGCTATCAATGTAAATTTCACCTCATAGATTACTTGTGATTCAAGAAATGTTTAGGTCTTAATTAGATTTTTGGTTTAAACTACCGCCTTATGATTTCTGATCTCCAAAACCTTTTTATTGATGATACCCATGTTTGGTCAACTTTATAATTTACTTAGCAATGAATCATCGAGTTATATACTAGTTATGACTAGGATTAGTTACTTGTGAATCAAGTTATGCTAATTCTTAGGTTATTTGTTTAACCATTTGTTTATTAATGCAGCCATTTGGTCTAATCCCTGTTTTGGTAGACAGAGATCTGAAGTTGTTTGGTAAGAAATTTTTAAACTACTTACTACTAAGTGATCTCATCAACGTTTTTCCGATTTTAATTTCTGGTGAAATTAATAAAATTTGTTAACTTTCCTCAGAATCCCGAGCCATATCACAATACCTCGCGACTGTTCATAGATCAACATGCACACAACTTCTGAATCACAAAAGCTACAAGAAAATGGGAACAGAAACAATGTGGATGTATATCGAATCTTTTGAGTTCGATCCTCCCGCATCGATACTGACTCAGGAGCTAGCCATCAAGCCTTTGGTGGGTCAAAAGCCAGACTATAAGGTCGTGAATGAAACCAAACCGTTGCTAGAGAAAGTTCTAGATATCTATGAAGAACGACTCAAAAATTCCAGCTTCTTGGCTAGTAACAACTTCACATTGGCTGATCTTTTTCACCTTCCTAATATACAATACCTTATGGGCACACCTGCGAAGAGATTGTTCGAAAACCGGCCTAGCGTTCACCGGTGGGTGGCTGCAATTACTGCTAGACCGGCTTGGAAGAAAGCCTGTGATGTGAAGGCTTGGTACGGTAAGAAGATGAATGGTTATTGAGAGCAGAGAACTTTCTGTGCGAGTGTGCGCGTTTGCTTTGAGTTTTTCTGTTTGTTTTCTTTATGTTTGATGTTATGAATAAAAGGCAAATGATAATTAAACAAAAATTTCAATGGAAATGCAAAAATTAATCTCAAGTTTTACGTC